AGAGGCCTCAAATAACATAAAACAACATCAAAAACACGAATCGCACCCCAATTCAAACCTAATGAAAACTAATAAATTCCAATTTCTACAATCGATGCCGAAACCTATCAAATCACGTCTGATTGACCTCAAAGTTTTTCACACAAGTCATAAAAGACACAACGGACCTACTCCAATTCCCAGAATCAAAATTCGAGTCCGATAACCACAAAGTCAACTCTTGGTCAAACTTCTCAATTTCCAAAACTTCTAATTTTCCAACTTTCGTCATTTCAAGACTAAATCAACTACAGACTTCCAAATCACTATCCAGACTCACTCATAAGTCCAAAATCACCCAACGGAGCTATCAGAACCATCAAAACTCCAATTCGGAGCCATTAACACATAAGTCAATATCTGATTAACCTTTTCAACTTAAGCGTCCAATCTTGAGACTAAGTGTCTCATCTCATTCTGAAACATCTCCGGAACCAAACCAACTACCCCGACAAGTCACATAACAAAAATTGAGCATAAAATAAGAAGTAAATGGGGGAACAAGGCTACAACAATCAAAACAACCAGCCATGTCATTACATCCTACCCTCTTAAACAAACGTTCGTCCTTGAACGGGTCTAGAAACATACCTGGAGTCTCAAATAGGCGTAGCTATCTGCTTCGCATCTCCCGCTCGGTCTCCCAAGTAGCTTTCTCGATTGGCTGACCTCTCCACTGCACCTTTAATGAAGCTATGTTCTTTGACCTCTACTTTTGAACTTGTCGGTCCAAAATGACCACCTGCTCCACATTATAAGTCAAATCACCATCCAACTGAGCCATGCTGGAGACCATAACATGAGGCGGATCACCAACATACTTCCGGAGCATAGAAACATGAAACACTGGATAAACACTCGATAGACTAGGCGACAAGGCAAGCTTTTAAGCCACCTCTCCAATCCTCTGAAGCACCTCAAACAAACCAATGTACCGAGGGCTCAACTTGCCCTTCTTGCCGAACCTCATAACACCCTTCATGGGCGAAACTCTGAGTAGTACTTTCTCCCTAACCATGTAAGCAACATCATGAACCTTCCGATCGGCGTAACTCTTCTTCATATTCCTCCACCAATAGTGCTGCCTCAAGTCCTGATACATCATTGCGGCACACGGATGAATGGAATATCGCAAAATGTGGGCCTCCTCAAAGATCAACTCATATAGCCCATCTACATTAGGCACACAAATCTGACCATGCATCCTCAACACCTCATCATCCCTAATAGTAACATCTTTCGCATCACCGTGCTAAACTATGTCCTTAAGGACAAGCAAATGAGGATCATCATATTGGCGCTCTCTGATGTGATCATATAAGGAAGATCGAGAAACCATACAAGCTAGAACCCGATTGGGCTCTGAAAAATATCTAATCTCACAAACTGGTTTGCCAAGGCCTAAACATCAACTGCAAACGTTCTCTCACCAATAGGAATAAATGCAAGGCTACCCATACTCACCGCTTTTCTACTTAGGGCATCGGCCACCATATTGGCCTTCCCGGGATGATACAAAAAGGTAATATCATAGTCCTTTAGCAACCCCAACCATCTTTGCTGCCTCAAGTTTAGATCTTTTTGTTTGAACAAGTGCTGGAGACTCCGATGATCCGTAAATACCTCACAAGACACACCGTATATATAATGCCTCCAAATCTCCAATGCATGAACGATGGCTGCCAACTCCAAATCATGAACAGTGTAGTTCTTCCCACGGGGCTTCAACTAACGCGAAGCATAAGCAATCACTCTACCCTCGTGCATCAAGACACACCCGATACCGATCCGAGATGCATCACAATACACTGTATAAGATCTTGATGCTGAAGGCAAAACTAGAACTGGAGTTGTGGTTAAGGAAGTCTTGAGCTTTTGAAAGCTCTCTTCACACTCATCCAACCACCTAAATGGAGCACCCTTCTGAGTCAATTTGGTCAAAGGCGCTACAATAGACGAGAAGACCCTCCACGAAGCGACGATAATAACCGGCCAAGCCAAGAAAGCTTTGAATCTCAGTAGTTGCGACGATCTGGGCCAACTATGAACTGCCTCTATCTTCTATGGATCCACCTTCATCCCCTCACTGGACACCACGTGCCCCAAGAACGCCACAGAACTAAGTTAAAACTCACACTTGGAGAACTTGGCATAAAAATTCTCCCCCTTCAGCCTCTGTAGTACAATCCTCAAATGTTGTGCATAGGGATGGGCATAAAATTTGAAAAACCAAATTCTGAATTGAACCAAATTAATTTTGTATTTCGATATCCAGTTTTTCAGTTTTTTGGTATTATTCAGTATAGATTTTTTGGTATTTTGGTTCGGTACTCGGTATTGATTTTTTGATATTTCGGTATACCGAAATATATTAAGTCCAAGCCCATATCTATTTTTATTTTTCAGCCCAATCAAGAATAAACCTAAGCCCAACACCCCTAATCCCTTAGGCCTTAGTTAGTCCCTTAGGGCGTAGAGACTTAGAGAGCATACAGAAAAACTTAGCTTCTGCTTACCCCTTCCCTTTTCTATTTTCTAACCCTAATTTCTCTCAAAAACATTGCTTGACTTTTTCTGTAATTCATGACTACAATAGGAGAGATGACGACAAAGACTTCACGACCTCGGCGACAACGACTCCTCTCCTCAGCAACTGTTTATTTACTCATTGTTGACCTTTATTTTTCAATCTTCAAGTCTTCAACAGGTTCACAACTTCTTCATTCTTCAGGTTTTATGTTAGTTTCAACTTGTTATATTTCATTAAGTTTCTTATGTTGAATAATCTATTTTTGAGCATTTAAAGAATAAATGTTTTGGGGGTTTTAGCTAGTGAAAAGATCTGAGTTACGTACTTGAACTTAAGAATTTAAGAATCATTGTTTTTGCCAAACTCAATCTTAAATTTTTCTTTTCTAGGAAATTACCGTCAAAGAGCACTGAGGTTGCCAGCTGAGAAGGACTACATTAAAATAAAATCAAGAAGCTCGAGTCGCTAGATTTTTCAAACATTACATTCCTTTGAAAAGCTTTGCCAGATTCCCTTAGGCTACTGACAAAAGAACAATATCATCTTAGAGTAAAAGAGTAAGAAAGAAAGAAAAATATCATCTTAGAGCATAAATTTCCTGCTGTCTATTTGCAATGTTCACATTTTCTTTTCAGAATCCAATGTTGCAACTGTTAAATCTAGGTCACTGCACTCCAGGAATTATTTTTTACTCTATGTAATTATCAAGATTCATTTTCTAAGTTTTCCTTTGAGTGGTTGAATTCTCAGCAGAAGTCAGAAGAGACGTTAGGTAATAGGCATAGCATAATCTTGGGAGATTTGAAAGACTTTGGTATGATATCGAAACCGTACCGAACCAAATACGAAAATATTGAATCGTACCGAACTTCTTTAGTATTGTATATGGTATGCACAATTGATATATCGAATATCGAAATATCAAACCGTAATTATTAAATACCATATCGAAGTATCGAACGCTCATCCCTAGTTGTGCTTGATCCTCCTGGATACGTGAGTAAACCAGGATATCATCAATGAACACTATGACAACCGAGTCAAGATATGGCTGAAATACACTGTTCATCAGATGCATGAATGTTGCTGGGGCATTGGTCAGCCCAAAAGACATCACAAGGAACTCATAGTGACCGTAGCGGGTCCTGAATGTCGTCTGGAGAATATTCGAGTCCCAAATCTTCAACTGGTAATACCCAAACCTCAAGTCAATCTCAGAGAACACCCTCGCTCTTTCAATTCCTTCAACTCAGTTGTTGCCATACGATACTGAGGAATAGAAATGGGTTGAGTGCCCGGCATCAAGTCAATACTAATATCAATATCCTTGTTGGGTGGCATGCCCGTCAGGTCTATAGGAAACACATCCAGAAAGTATCATACTACCGATACAAAATCAATAGTAGGAGTATCAGCATTAACATCTCTCACAAAGGACAAATATGATAGACACCCCTTCCCAACCATCCGTTGAGCCTTCAAATATGAAAGAGAGAGCCTATATATATTTATAGGTAAACTTGTTCCCTAATAATAGAAATCTCTTAGTATAAACTTGTTCACTCTTTAGGCAAAGAAAAGGGATAACCTTTTAATACTCCTTATGTGTCAATTTGTGTGGACCTATAACTATTTTATGAGTCAATATTTGGTTATCAATATTATAGTTTTAAGAAAATACCATTAATTTCATATATATATTTTGTTTTAAAATGCAAAACTAACAAACAAATATTAGCGTTTGATATATATATATAAAGTCCTTCTTTTATAGTATCAGATTGCGTTAATTATCAGACAAAGATTGTTATAACTAATAAAGATGCACATTTCATGCACTCATAAATATGATATTTTTTATGCATTTTCAATTTAGTAGAGGCTAATGAAAAAAAGGTGATTTGGATGTGAAGTAGTGGATTAAATTTGTGTTGAAGCCATAAAGTATTGATATTGCTAACAAATATGTTTAGGGCACGGTAGATCAAGATAAATTTTTATGGCTAGAAAAGATGCACATCTCATGCACGCATTCTATATGTTCATAGCACATGTATCTTTTATGTTTCGTTACTAAAACATAACTTACTTTGGATAACTAACTATGCCCGAAGCGATATGTTGGAGTAATTTTCAATCCTTGAAAATTTCTTTAACACCATGTTGAAAAGTTTTATTCGTAAATATATGGTTTTTTTCGTGCATACATTATAATAATCTTATTTTCTTGTTTGATCATGTTTATTATAAAATGATGATTATGAACCCTGACAAATAAGTACAATTACAGAGAATATAAACAAGCACTAATAAATATTTTCTTTGTTAATAGGTAGATATGGACGGAACTTCACAAATAGCAAAGTAGATTATAATTTCATAATACGGACTGAAACCTATTTTGGAACTAAATCAGGTCAACTTGTTGCAATCAATGGCCTTGAAAGATACGATCATTTTTATCTAAATTGTATCCAACGAGAAAGTTTGATTGGGCCATATTGCCAAAGAAAGACTGATCTTCCGGTCGTTTAAAGGCTAGGCACTGAATTCTGCTACTATTTAGAATTGGAGGCATTATATTCTCCCCAGACAATAGGACATCAGCTCCAATAAAATAAAGCGTCATTGGAGGAATATCAGTGCCTTTCAGATCTTTGTAGCAGAGACTTAGCCCAGATGATGAGTTGTCATCCCACGGTTCTACTTTAATGGCTTCTCTCACCAATGTATCGAATTGATTGTAAAACGGTGCAGCAAGGAAAGTATAAGTAGTTCCTAAGTCAATCACAATATTTTCCTCTTGAAAAATAGTAGAGAAATTAACAACAAGGTCATGTTTTTGTTCACCAACCGGTATGCCTAAGAGGGTCAAGAAATAGTGCACAAAGGTAGGTTTAACAATAACTCGATTGTCACCAAAGGTAAGTTTGCTAGGGATATCTAGTTGTACCCTTGGCACAAAACAGTAGGAAAGTTTTTGTCCAAATGTTAGACTAAGTTGCGACACTAAAGACGCATGAGAAGCGCCAAGGTCTATTACGCCAGACATCATAGGGTTCACTAGTGTAGATTTGGATATGTGACCACATCCATAAACAATACTTGGGAAAGAAATTTTTTCTCCATTTTCATAATAGAAAGTGAAAGTTTTTGTGGCTACATCACCAAATGAGTAACTACTAGCAACGTGGGTCGCAGAATACAATTCCTTTGGCAGCTATTCTAAAAGCATTTGTCTGAATTACAGGATATCAACTTAAAGGTTGAAGAGTTTACGGGATAGAAGATGGGGATATCTTGCTTGTAACAATCTAGGCAAGGTTGGCATTGTATCGAATTAATATGACTGCCAGTGTCAATAAGTGCCAGTTGGAACTTTGGAGGAGTTCCAACAGAAAAGTTTATAAAGTATGCACCTAGAGGGTCAGGTACTAACTCAGTCCGGAGTGAATTTGGAGAAGATATAGGAGACATTATTTTTGAAAACGGTGGATAAGCTGAATAGTTGTCTCAAATTATTTACTATTTTAGAATTTCAAGATAAAATTAGTTATTTTTTTTCATTTTACCCTTGTAGTAATTGTTGTTGAAGACTACAAATACCTCAATTATGGGGTGATATTATGATTGCTCAAATACCAATAAGATAATAAGAAAATGAAGCGAAAGAAATAACATGTAGTAATAGAAATATAACAATAACATAATACAAGGCCAAACCACTACTACTGGTATTGGAAACAAATACTCTCGACTATTTACTAGCCTTTTATCTTAATTCTCAACCTCCACAGCTTCTTGTCAAGGGTCATGTCCTCCGTAAGCTGAAGCAACGCCATATCTTACCTAATCACCTCTCCCCAATACTTCTTTCGCCTACCTTTACCCCTTCTCAAACCAACCAAGAGTCAACCTCTCACACCTCTTTGTATGAACATCTATGCTTCTTCTCTTCACATGACCATACTATCTAAGTATCTCTTCTCACATCTTGTCCCCCACCGAGACTACTCCTATCCTGAGCTGAATGTCTTTATTACTAATCTTATTGATCCTGGTATTCCCGCACATCTATCTCAACACGAGTGCAAGAAATGTGCATCTTTGTTAGTTATAACAACCTTTGTTTAATAATCAACACAATCTAAATCGTATCCGACGAGAATGGCATTATATTCTCCATAGATAATAGCACATCATCTTCAATAAAAATAAAGCTTCATTGGAGGAATATAATGCCTTCCACATCTTTGTAGGAAAGACTCCACTCAGATGATGAGTTGTCAACCCACGGTTCTTTTTCAATGGTTTCTCTCGTTAATGATTCAAGTTGGTTATAGAACGGTGAAGGAAGGAAAGTATAAGTAGTTTATGAGTCAATCACAATATTATCCTCTTGGAAACCAGTAGAGGGATTAACAACAAGGTCCAATTTTTGTTCACCAACTAATATGCCTAAGAGGGTCAATAGTATACATTGTAAGGATTAACAACAACTATAGTGAAAATACTCATAGACCCTCAAGCATTCTCAGTGAGGATAAGTTTGCTACAGATCTAATTGTGAAAAAGGCACAAAACAGTAGAATTTTTTCCTCCATAGATGATACATACTGAAGTCCACGTATGAGTATCAAAGTAGAATATAACAGACTGAAGAAGTCTAAAGCTAATTAAATAAATTAGGCCAACTTGATGCAATCAGTAGCCTTGAAGGATACGGTCATTTTATCTATATCATATCCAACGAGAAAATTTGATTATGCCACTTACGAGCGCAAAACACAGCACTAAATTATTTCTCACTAGTCAAAGATAGTATAGTTAATTTATCGTCTCCATATGGATTAGATTTAAATAGTGTTTGAATAATCTTTAGTTAATTACTATCCAGAAAAATTAACTCTTGATTGAATGATTATCAACTATGGTTAACTACTAAAACTTAAGCAATTAGCAAGTGATCACGGAAGACAACATATGAGCAATGAAGAAATATCAATGAGAGAAATAAGGGTAATTGACTAGACAGGTGCAAGACAATTGACTCGGGATCCAATTGTTGAATTAGCTCACTCTATAATACTATTGATTCTCACGAATTCAACAGATAATTAGATTAGACTTGAAGTTAATGTTTCTCTTTCGATTAAATATTAATTTCAGTAATTAATCCAATTGAAGAATGGTGAATAATTGCAACGAATAAAATGATGGTTTTAGTCTAAAGGGTAACTTCTCACGAATATTTTCCTATTTTTTAGTTTGATTAATAATTCAAGAGGCTCTTTCGATTACCTAGTTGAATCACAAATTTAAACTAGAGCGTAAGATGTAAAGAAATTCAATATCAAGCTCCTCTTTCGATTAATCAAAATAATAAATAACTTCCAATATGAATTAAAACCCATCAATTAATTAAAATAATTGTCAAGAATCGAATCCCTAATCAAGTTATCAGTACACAATATATGTCAACACCCTAACGGAAATTACTCCATAGCAATAAAAAAAGTTATCTCAATAACGTTTAAAAATATAGAAAATATCAATGCTAATGATTTGATACAAACTACTGTATTGCACCGATTGTCACACCCCTTTTTACCACCCGCAAAATATATTATGTGAATTGTTGTGGATTAAAGAATTTTTTTCAATTAAAGTGACAAATTTGAGTAAAGATTATTTTACTTACAGAGTCGCCACTTGGAATTGATTTTTGGTGTTCCAAGTCACTTTTTATTTGAATCCCTATTCAAAGAAAATTTTGACTCTATTTTTATTGGTCCACGAAAACAAGAGACCGGGTAAAGAATTTTCTTGACCGGGGAGGTGGTGTAAGGCACTCTCCGAATTCCGTGGTTCTAGCATGGTCGCTTTTATTTATTAAAACGTGGCTTAAATAATATGGATAAACTGTGTGGTATTGCCTTAAAGTATAGTTGTCTATTACCTTTTAGTAATTAACTAAATTTACGCATGGTCAAACACAATTTATTATTAAAGAGTCAATGAGCAGGAATGCACACGTGACTATTTTATCAATTAAATGTTGCCAAAGATCGTGTATGAATACATGGTCTACATTTGAAACGTGCCTAGAATTTTCTTATCGTTTAAATTATTTGAGGTAATTAAGTTATTAATTAATTCCTCGAGAGGCAAGGATTAAAATTGTTTAACTAAATATGAACATCAAATTTAGACTAACTCATGTTTATTGTTTTTTATGGCATTTGGCCAAAAAAAAAAATAGCTCAACTTTGTTATTAAAAGAGAATGGGCAAACTCATGAATTTTATTGGTACTGGACTGTTGCAATTTAGTATACAAAACCAGCCAGCTGAAATGGACTCGTGTGGCCCAATTAGCTATATAGAAAATGGACAGCTTTGTTGTTAAAGGGGATCTTTACATAAATAGTCGCCTATATTCATTATTTACTTTTTCTATCCATATACATAAATTATATATTGATTACATATAATTATATACATATAGTACATAAGTTATACATATATAATATCTTCGCTGACTATTTTTAGTTTAAGTGATTGGGTGGACGGCTATTTAAGTGAATTCTTCTTAAAGAAAACTGGGCCAGCTTAATGCTAAAGTTGTTGGGCCCAACGAGTTAAGTTTAGTCCCTCTTTTCGGCAGATTAAATCTCATGGGCCAATTATTCATAACTTTATTTCAAAGATCATCTTTTATTGGTTTTTATAAATCATATTTAAACCACAAAATTCAAACAACAGAGGACATTGGTGTTAATCATTAATGCAATCTAACAGTGAGCATAATACCCAAATTACATATAATATTTCAAACCAACAATAATAATAAAAACAGAGATTTGGAGAGGATATTGGACTCTTCAAGATGCATTTCTTTTTCTTTTTAAAACAACTAGCGGAGAATTTAATGTATTTACAGCTAAACTTTAATTTACAGAAAATCTAATGGTAAAGAGCTTATTACAAAGTCGGTCTTTGAAACATAGAATAGAAACTACAACTATATATCTGTGTGTATATATTGTTACGACACTTAGAGTTCTTACCCTTCAAGATTTTCAAATAAGCATAAAGATTCATGCCATGTGCTTCAAGTTTGATTTTTTAACAAGACTATGACAGATCTAGACATACACATAGATAACATGACCAGGGCCGGCTCAACAGATCTCGGGCCCTAAGGCGAAATCATATTCGGAGGCCCTTAATCCCAGTATAATCTACTAGTGGGGTCTTGAAAGAGTAGTTTGTACGCAGACCTTACCCTTACCCTGGAGTAGAGAGACTATTTCCGATAGACCCTCGGCTCCCTCCCTCCAAGAACTACCCACCTTGCTCTTGGGGTGACTCGANCATGACCACAATAAGGAAATTATCTAAGATAATAGTTTGCTGTACATTTTTGTGCAGGTACATATGTGACTAGTGGCCTTGTGAGAGCAGAGGCGTGTATGCATGCGGGGACTTATGTGAGTTGCATTCCATATTAGGACCTGCATCCGGCAGAGTCTCCTTCAAAGTATTTATATTTCTCCTGTCCAAAATTGTATTATGGACATATGTTATATTTTATTTTACATTCCTAGTTGATGCTCATGCACTTGTGACCGGGTTTTGGGGCGCTTATGGGTTGTTCTGTATTGAAATTGGTAAATATATTATTATTTACATTATGAATTTCATCTTTTACTATTTAATGGAAGGAAAATATGATTTTAAAATATTAAAATGAGAACCAAATTAAGTATATATTTTTGGCTTGCCTAACAGCGATGTCTGGCGCCATCACGACCTTTAGATGGATTTTGGGTCATGACAACTTCAACAATTGAACCCAGAAACTAATAAGTTTAAGATTGCCTAAAGGATCTCTTTTCTCCTTCAAAGTTTTTACACTCTAAGAATCACTCCCAAGCTCACAAATCTTCAGCTTACTATTAGATGTTCAACTAATATTTTACTCTCTCTCAGATGTGTGTCCATAGTGAGGAAAGCAACTCTTCTTTATATAGGAAGAGAAAGGACCATAGGACAATTTTTTGTTTAAAATGATAACTATTTGACAGAACACCAGCCCAAAACTAAAAATCTACCTAAGAAACAGTTTTCCCTCACCAAATCAGGACAGTCTTTTGGAGTATTATACTTCAAAATAGTCCTCAACAGTAAAAGCAACCAAACACGGACCCTACAGTCAAGTACTCCCCCTTTCTTCCCGTTTCCTCTCATTTAGCTCAAATATTCAGAGCCTACAACAATCAAGACAGTCCCCGTGATAAACTACTACTAATCAGAATTCGGAATGCAACAACTTGGCTATCAAACCAATCAAACAAGCTTATAAACTAACTAACATGTCTCTCAAAATACTTAAACCAAAACAACATCAACACATAAACTAATTAAAATCAAACAAATAAACAATAGCAGTGATTGAACCAAGCTAGCAAAAAGGAATGAAATAATATATCTAACTCGATTAATATAAACTACTAACTATCCGAAACTACTTAATCACTCTCATAACACAACAGACAGTCATAGAGACATAAATAAGAAACAAAGCTAAACTTTAAAACTAAACTAATTACTGAAATCAGGGAAAAAAGGTTTTTACCAAAGACAATGACTATATAAATGAAGAGAATGAAAGAAAATAGTTTTGGAATTTTTTTTATGATTTTATTTCTCTGTACAGTGTAACGTACAAATACAAAAGAACGGAATCTAGTCTAAATAAACTTTGCCGGCTGGCAGTATTTAACTAGTCTACTCCTAACAACTATTGTAACTAACTAAGGAATATTTACAAAAGAATA